TGGATGGAAGGTATCCCAAAGAGATTTTCCATTGACACCACCATTTCGGGTTTAGGTAGTGCGTGTGGTGCATCCCAGTTTTATGAATTTCCACATATTTTTGACGATTTATTGCAAAAGCCACACTTTGCCACTTCTAGGCCGATCCCAAGAAGGACCTTGAAGAACCTGCACCGAGCGATTCAGAAGACAAGGAGTTCCTTTCCAATGTACCCTATGCCACTGTCAAAGAAGCACTGACGATGTTCAAGGATGACGAGTTGTTAGCAGAACCGGGCAGAAAAGTTCAAGTTGAGTGAATCCATTGTCCTAACTTTAAGATTTGTAGTTCCGAAAATAATGAAACTCAAGCATTCAATGCCTTTACTGAGAAGCTGTGAAATGAGCATGCATTGCTGCAAGACTTCAAACAGTTTCAATGGCGCTTGTGTTCCCGACCCGGATTGTGTGTATTGATTTTACGCGCTCATGATCAAAACACATTCTTCATACACTCGAATCCCTGGGATGAGGTAGGCGTGGCTGCGTACTTCAACTATCTGGGAGGCGGTCATGCCTTTTGGAGACACTTGTTGCGCCACAATCGGGCTTGCGTCCCTGTCCGACACAGGAAAAAAAGGCAGTTGTTTCAAACTGAGATATCTCACGAGGAACCCATTCTATGCAGTGCTCAAAGGCCACGCCTACTCTGTCTTTCAGAGATAAGGCGTGTACATAGCAGCTGATGGATTGGGCATGGAAGGAAATATTAATTACACACCTCGATCCGATGGGCATACAGTCGGTATGGTTCTAGTCGGTGGGAACGGTTTCAAGAGGAAATGATTCCACTCCGCGATCCTCAGCAGTGTCGGGTCAGGTCGGAAGAAACCGCCAGTGAGCTAGACATTTCGTGCGGATGTGCTCTTCCATTGCATTCACCCAGCGCACCCTGTTCAGAATGTTGGGGGGGGGGGGAACAATACCAAACTGTAGAATCATGGCCATTTATGCTTCTTCATTCCCGCCCTTTTTGCTTACAAGTGAAGCGGCTGCGGCTGCGCCAGGTATGGAAGAGTGAGTAGTTGTGAGACTCCGCCCACTACACCTATTTCCTCATCGCGAAATGTTCATTTAGTAGACTGCATTTGGCTCAGGTACACAACTCATGGATTCACCCTCATCAGTGCTGTTCTGGAGAAGGCCTCAGGAAAGGATTTCAAGAAGTTGATTGAAGACCTTACGTTCGATTTAGGGATGAGGAACACTACTCTAGACACCAATTCTAAAATCATCCCACATCGCACAAAGTATGTTCCTTCTTCTCCTTAGCACATTTTGAGGAACATTTAACCTCCCTGATGACTTACCTTTCAGCTACTATAACGTACAAGAAACAACATCTGGAGATTGCCCTGAAGTGGACAACTCTTACAAGTGGGCAGGCGGCGGTCTACTTTCCAACGTGAAGGATCTTCTCATTTTTGCTAATGCTATCCTCTACAGGTGAATTCTTAACTGCTCGATCTCTTAGGACACATGGGAGTGGGATGAGCAGATTCGACCACTGAATAGTGGATTCCAAGTATAGGCAATACTCTGATAGGCCCAGTCCCGCAGTTACTCGGAAGGTATAAACTTTCTTCACAGTAGATGGCCCGCTCCTCAGTCCTAAAGTTTGTACAATTTTTGAGACTTGGAAATGAGGAGCAAAGGTGCTAAGGCAGTCATCCGTTATTATAGCGACCTCACACACCACTAGCGCTGCTCTGGTGAACCCGCTGGGGAATGCTTTGGCCTCTGTCGTCTTGTTCATCTTGCTGTACTCTCTCATTTCATCTCTGGTCTCTCTTCCGTGCTAACAGTATCTTTTCTCCTCTCGCTTCTACGTCCTATCTCAAAATTAGATGCAAAAAGGAGGGGTTTCCAATGGTTTCATCTCTTTTTCTTCACTGCTACATCAATTAGCACCTATGAATTGACGTACAAATTCCTGCAGTATACGGCTTGTAGTCGCAAAATGTGTCTTAAGTCATGTCATGTCATGTGTTACTTAAGTTTACGGTTGCTTGTTTAGATGAGTACCTTTTGCTGGTTTCGATGAGAAGCCCCACTCCCTCCCTACGCAAACATAGCACTCTAGGAGTCTTACATACGACTTTCACGATGAAACCTTAAGCCATCGTAAATAGGAGGTTTATTCAGCTTCAACTCAACACGAGGTTGGCAATATGTAGGGGTGGCTAACGTTTCGACGATATTGTCTTCGTCAGAGCCTGAAAGATGGAAATGGAGTCATGAATCATTCTAAAGTGCACATTTATCACCAGAGGGTGGTCTGCGAACGGTTATCACTAAGAGCTTTGAACCGCACCAATTTTCCGGTCTCGCATCCTTTTCTCTATATAGCATACTGTCGCCTCTGTCGTCATGTACATCGCAGACGTTTACACATTATATGTGACTTACCAATTATCGTGCGCGAAACCCCGCCCAACCCCTCTAAAATGTTATTCTCGAACCGTATGCAGGCAAACGTGTAACCCTGGCTGAAGGTGGGGTACGGCGCAATAATAGCCGCAGGCATATAGCAATCGTGGACGTGAACGCTATAAAATCAACCCTTCTTCAGCCATCAAGCTGGTCCAAATGCCAAAAATGCTCTCCTGAAAAAAGACGTAATCCAACAACTATGGGAAGGAGAAATATCGGTGAACAACAGGACGCTTGCTGGACTTGGCTGGATGCGAATACCTGCCGCAGATGACTACTGCGGAAGCGAGAAAGCCAGGTTTGATGGCTCTAGATTGGTTCTTGGATCTTGTTGTGACTATGTGAGCTGCTGGGATTCGGGTTTCTCAAAAAAAGCACTACTATTGAACTATTACTACCCCAGTTTTGCGAAAACAGGCCGGATCTTGATCGACTTTTTTCTACGGGGGCAGATTTGGCTGAAAGTTGGGTTCTAGGGGTAATTCGACCTCTGAACACGAATATCACATCCACTTGGCCTGAAAGTACCTGGCGCCCGCAACACGCCAGTGATTTAGAGCATTTTGGTCGCAATGCCTGTGGCGCGGGCGCCGAGCGTTTTAGGCCGAGCGGATGTGATATTCGTGTTCAGGAGGTCGAATTACCCCTAGAACCCAACTTTCAGCCAAATCTGCCCCCGTAGAAAAAAGTCGATCAAGATCCGGCCCGTTTTCGGAAAATGGGTAGTAATAGTTGAACAGTGCCAAAAAAATTTCTTCTAGCTCACTTGGCGGGCTCTGGTATCATACGGGTGCAGCTGTTGGCGCGTCATCGGTACTACTTATACGTCCAAAATCGTCAAAATTGCCTAATCAAGAACCTCCAGCTGGTGTGTGCGTGGTGATGTTATGCAACCTTCAAGACACTTCATTACTCAATTTGGCCAAAGAAGTTCGAGGAAATATTCAGAGATTGAGCCTAACTTAGGTAACTATTTCATGTTGTGAGCACCATTGTGATGTTGATACGGCGACATTTTGGTATGTTTTATCAATAACATATTACACGAGTAAATCTATAAGTATTACATGCATGAGTTCTTATAAGTGAGATCTTTGTTCCCAAGAGCGCGTTAAATTCGCGATCCAATCACTCGGGCGATTCGATCGCGCGATCCAAGCGATCGGATCGCGAAGTATGAACGCGCTCCAAGCTATGTAAACCTCGTTAACAGCAGAAATGAATGCCAAAGTATAACAGTTCAATCAGGCATGGGTGAAAGTGAACATGAAAGTGAATAATTAGTGATCTCGGAATGAAAGCCAATGGCAACGACCTATCAGAGTCAAACAGAAAACGATAACAATAAGTTGGCAACAATCCTTGACCATGCTATTTTGGTGGTACAACTGTTGGACCATTGCCAAGAGTCGGAAGTGGCAAACTGTAACCAGGCAGTGCATAATCGAGTAACTCGTTCCCATTAATTGTGTAAGGTTTCGCTCACTTCTCCCTGCCATCGGAATTCGTTAGCCTTCCTTTCAGTGCTGGAGGTGTTGTTCGCATTGAAGGCGTCAAGAGAGCCGTGTTCGATTGCTAAAATGCTACCGTTCTGTTTTTTAGCGCACTCAAGGACAGAAAAAACGTGATTCTGTCATGGGAGCAGGGTATTACAATATTAGCATGAAAAATTGTCGCATTTAATAAATAAATCAGCAAGAAGATTACTCCAAGGTTACGCAGAAATCGTTCAAATATCCATT